CAAGTATCGAGTATCAAGCATTAACAGCAACAGACAGTTTGGAAAAGCAGATGGAAGAGGGGTCTAAAATAAAGAGGACTGGTTAAAAGCCTTAAGAAGCTGTTAACTGCTTACATCCCCTCACCTACTCCATACCACTGAATAACTGCAGGAGCCTGTATAGGCCTATTCTCTGGTAAGGGTGAACAATGTCTCTAGATTGGGCTTTGCCAGCCACAACTGAGCATGTGAATACCACAGTGAAATCAGAGAAATTGAATGACCTTACGCATTTTGAATGTTGAATGTAAAACCTTCTAAGCAGAAAACTGAGAGAATCTTCTTTTAGGGAATATGAGAAGCCTAAAAGACCTAACAATACTGATTTGGGGGTTCCCTAACAATTGGCCCAGCAAAATAACCCTATAATAAAGGTTACTAGTCAAAGGGCCTCAACCACATGCTTAGAGCTTGTGGTCGGTCACCTTTTTATTTTCCCATTCTTAAGAATGAGGAAACAGTGCCAGACATGATGAATGCATCCAGTATGAAAGAGACCAAAACAAATAAGGGGAAAAAAAAATCAACTTAGAAGAAACAACTTATGCATGAAGAAGAAAACTTCAAAAGTAACAAAACAACAAATATCATTAATCCATTCATATTTCTAGAAATATACTATATCTGTGAGTCAAGAGTAGGATGCAGTATAAAAAAAGGAACATTCAGAGAATCTCCTACTCCCCCGAAGATACTAAAAATACGGTAAAATGGAAAACTGAAGTGAATGGTTAGAAAGCTACAGTTAAATAAGCCACTGGAATTCCTTCTCCAGAACACACATTGTGACTGCATTATGGTCCATCATCCCCCATCCACCAGTAAGAATCTACCACAGGAAAGGCACTAAACCCATGGTGTGGTCCAGAGTAACCAAGATAGCATGAGGCCTAAGGACCCTTGGGCCCACTCATCACCACTGCTCTAGAAACAGTGAAGTGTTTCCTCCAGTCTGTGGGCTTCACAGCAGAAAAGGCAGAAGCACACGCACACACGCCTACACACCTGGGTGCCACCAGGATGATGAGAAAGAAATGGAGAAGAGACTCAATATTACTGGGCCAGATACAAGAACCAGCATAAAAAAGGGGAGGGGACAATGCAGATAAAATAGAAGAGAAGGGATCATTACCAAAATTACTTAAGAAAATATCCTGCAATTGAAAGACATGAATTATTACATTGAAACAACCCACTAGCTGTTCAACACAATGGGTTGAAATAGACCCAATGCCAGTTTCAGAATTCTTGACTGGAAGATTCCACAAGTTTGTAGAGTTAGAAGGCAGAAATACATACAAAGGATCAGGAATCAGAATGGTTTGCGGCTTATCAAAACAAAACTGGCAGCTAGAATTCTAGAATTCTAACTTAGAATCCTGTAGCCAACCAAACTATCAACTCATATATTTGAGTTCTCAAAAAAAAGCTACAGCCTGTAAACTATTACTCAGAAACCTCCTGAAGGATGTATAGTGAGAGAGTAAACCAAAAAGGAGGAAGAACATGAGATAACAAGACATAGGAAATCTAACATTGAGAGAGGAAAAGGCAATTCTCAGGGTGAAGAGGTAGGGAAAGAATTTCTCAGATGATAGCTATACACTGGTCAGAAAGGTAGTCCAGAATGAAGCAGTGTGACTCCAGACCCAGATATGTTGAGGGCCTTCTGTATTACACATTCTCATACCTGATAATAATGGGTAGTCTGTCCCCAGAATCTTATTTACTTAGCTTGTAGGGATCGTGTGTTGATGAAATTCTTGCTCTCTCCTCTGTACCCTGCTGCCTGGATAACCAAAGACATTCATTTCACCCCACAGAAGAATTTTGCTTTGAACTACTGCTGAGAGCTGAAGATTGGCCCCGGTAAGTAAGCTTAGACGCAGAAAATAGAGAGTACTGTACTCCCGTTGATCATATTCTGTCACATCTCAGCACCTGGCCCACACTGCATCCCTGCCAGATGCCTTCACTGTGTTGAGCCCTATGTTTCCTGGGACTCATTCTTGCCTCCCCTAAATGGGGTTATGATAAACTCTGAAAAGCTGAAGACAGACTGTGACTCTCTTAACCTGATCTTCTCTGAGAACCTTTCTCAAACAGTGGCAATAATGCTTTTTCCATGCACAGCCAGGTTTGTGCTTTCCTGGTTTTTAAACTACCCTTTTTCATTCATTTATATACAAATACTTACAGTTAAAAATAAGAAAATATTTGAGAAAATCTATTCTTGTTCACCATACTTAAAAAAAAGAAAAAGTACATGAAGATAGGAGTAGATTTAGAAAGAGCGTTCTATAAAATTCAACAGCTATTTACAAACTAAAAACAAAACCCTTTACAAATTAGTAATAGACGGGAACTTTCTTAACTTGTGAACTCTACAGCATCTAACACATGTTGTAATGAAATGTTAAAAAAAAAAGTTATCTTTAAAATGATGAATAGGGCGCCTGGGTGGCTCAGATGGCTAAGTGTCTGCCTTCGGCTCAGGTCATAATCCCAGGGTCCTGGGATCGAGTCCTGCATTGGGCTCCCTGCTCAGCGGGCTCCCTGCTCAGCGGGGAGCATGCTTCTCCCTCTGCTTCTCTCTTTCTCTCTCTCTGTCTCTCATGAATAAATAAATAAAATCTTTAAAAAAATAAATAAAATAAAATAAAATGAATAAAACAAGAATATGTATTATCACCACTTCTGTTCAACATTACACTGGTTGAAGGCTTGTCCAATATAGTATTTGCAAATCACATGATCATGTACAGAAAATGTCATAGGACATGTACCAAAAAACTACTAGAAGTAGTAAGTTGGAATTCAGCAAGGTCATGAAATTCAAAGGAATATTCAAAAATCATATTTCTATATACTAGCAGCAAACAATTGAAAAGTGAAATTTCAAAAATACAATTTCCATTAGCACCAAAAAACATCAGATGTTTAAGGATTAAATTTAGCAACTGTATGTAAGGCCTGCATATGGGAAACTACAATGAACAGTTTTTTGCTGAGGGAAATTAAAGAAGACCTAAATAAATGGATAGATGTACCATTTTCATGGATTAGAAAACTCAATATTATTAAGATGTCAGTTCTCCCCAACTGATCTATAAGTTTAATGCAATCATAATCAAAATCTCTGCGGGCTTTTTGATAAAAATTAAGAAACTGATTCTGAAATTTATATGGGAATGCAAAGGATCTAGAAGAACTAAAATAATTTTAAAAAAGAATGACAGAGGCACCTGGGTGGCTCAGTCAGTTAAGTGGCTGCCTTCAGCTCAGGTCATGATGTCAGGGTCCTGGGATCGAACCCTATGTTGGGCTCCCTGTTCAGTGGGGAGCCTGCTGCTCCCCCTGCTTGTGCTCACTCTTTCTTTCTCTCTGTCAAATAAATAAAATCTTTGGAAAAAAAAAAGTGAAAGGCAAATCACAGATTTGGAGAAAATACAAAATATATATCCAACAAAGGATTTAATGTTTAGACTATATAAAGAACTCTTACAACTCAATAAGAAGGCAAATAATTTTTTTAAATACACAAAGACTCAGCAGACTATCAAAGAAGATACATGGACAGCAAATAGCACATGAGAAGATGTTCCGAAACAGTCATTAGGGAAATGCAAATTAAAACAACAGTGAGCTACCACTGACGCCTACAAGGTACAACTAAAATTAAAAAAAAAAATACCCATGTTATACCAAGGGTTGGTGAGGATATAGAACAATACTCATACACTGCTGGTGGGCATGTGAAGTGATCCAGTCACTTTGGAAAGCAGTTTAACAGTGCCTTAAGAAGTTTAACATTCACCTGCCACTCACCTGCTGTACAGTACAGCTATTCCTCTCCTGGCTTTTTACCCAATAGAAATGAAAGCATACGCTCATACAAAAACTTACTTACCAGTGTTCATAGCTGTTTTATTTGTTACAGAAAAAATTGAAACAACATAAATGTCCACCAACATTTGGACAGATAAAACAAGTTGTCGTATATCCATACAGTGGAATACTACTCAGCGATTAAAGAAAAGAAAGTATTGATACACATAACAACGTGGACAAATTTTAAAATAATTATGCCAAGTGAAAGAAGCCATACAGTGAAGAGGATATACTGTGTTATTCCATTTATATGACATTCTAAAAAATGCAAACTAGCTTTTGGAGATGATGGATATGTTTATTATCTTGATTGTAGTGTTTCATGGATATATACAAATGTACCGATTAAATGTACACTTGAAATATATTCAGTTAAATGTAAGTCAGTGATACATCATTGAAGCTATAAAAATATATAAGCTACTGTTTTTATTTTGGGTAACTCACTAAGCTTCAGTTTTCTTATCAGTGAAGTGCAAAGACTAATACCTGCCTTATAGGGTTTATTTGAAGATTTTATTCATTTGCTTGTGTATCCAATTGATGATGGTGCCTGCCTGACACAGAGCAGGTGACTCAGTGTTAATTCTGTTCTTGCACCCCCCTGCCTCTTCCAGGGGACGATAAAGTTATTGGGGGCCTTCAGTTTACTTTCTTGAAACACTTAGCAAAGTCTTAATGGCATATTCTTTCTCATTTTTTTAATGGCTAAATGTAATAGGCAAATGTATTAGAGAATTTAATAGATAGGTTTGCTTTTAATACTAATGAAAACTGGGCACCTGGGTGGCTCAGTCAAGCGTCTGCCTTTGGCTCAGGTCATGATCTCAGGGTCCTGGGATCGGCCCCCGCATCGGGCTCCCTGCTCAGCCAGGAGCCTGCTTCTCTCTCTCCCACTCCCCCTGCTTGTGTTCCCTCTCAGTGTGTCTCTGTCTGTCAAATAAATAAATAAAAGCTTTAAAAAAAAATACTAACGAAAACTTTTCCTTCTCATGAAAGCAGTAGCTTCAAGCTCTGATCATCACATGACTTAACAAAATTTCAGTTTGCTTTCTTTTTTTTCCCCACAGGGTTTATCCATGGCTCAGAGGACTGGGTTATACATCCTTGGGTATATTTTTAATGGGATTTCTATTATGGAACATAGATAACATCTTTTGTGATTCACTGAGGTAAGATATATTTTCAGTCTTTAAGAAATATTTTTGGAAGCAATCTATTAAGCAGAAAATTTCATAGGCATATAGAATTATTAGTGCTATGAAGTGAATTTTTGCCATTGTTGAAGTTAAATTCTGACAATACTTGTTTAATTAACCTAAAAATTTGGACCTAAGACTATTTCATAATATCTGTAGCGATTTTTATGTGTATGCATCACAGAATTATAGAGTTGATCAGATGTTAATTAGGCCTCTGAAATCTCCCTAATCTGCTGTGTTGAAAAAATACTAATGATTTATAAGAAGCATCTAAGATACATGCATATAATTTTGTACTTTAATATACTTAATGTTATTTTCTAAGAAAGGCAAGTGTTTCTTTTACCATCTTGTCAGCAATTTTGTATTGACTAGAATTTGAATTTTGGGTCTGTGGACCTTAGTCTGTCACTAAGATAAATATCTTTCTGGGCCTCAGTTTACATAAAATGAACATGTTGAAGAGGTTAAACTAGTGGGTCCTTCCAATTCAAAATTCTGTGCCCTAAAGTTTTGCATAAACACATGTGTTGAAAAGCACCAGACAGAGGCAATCAGCAAAATTCTGACTGTGGGAAATCTACAGGATAAATGGCAGAGGAGGTAAGAAAGAGAAGAGGAACATAGAGATTAAAAGAGACTTAAGGGGCGCCTGGGTGGCTTATTCGGTTAAGTGTCCGACTCTGGATTTTGGCTCAGGTCATCATTGTGGGCTGGTGAGAGGGAGCCCTGTGTGTCAGCCTCTGCGCTCAGCAGAGAGTCTAGTTGGGATTCTCTCTCTCTCCTTCTGCCCTTCCCCCCATGGGCACACTCTCTCTCTCTCAGGAAGGAAGGAAGAAAGAAAAAAAGAAAGAAAGAAGGAAAGAGAAAGAAAGAGGAAAGAAAATATTTAAAAATAAATAAAAGACTTAAGAGATACACTGTATCAACCAAATGCAGTGTGTTGATTTTTTTTGAATTTTGATTCAAGCAAACAAACTGCAAAACAAAATTTTAAACTTAGAATTGGAACTTTAATCAATAATTGAATATTTTGTGATATTAAGGGATATTGTTAATATTTTATATGTGAAAATGGTATTGTTATGTTTTAAAGAGTTTTTTTTTTTTTAAGATTTGTTTCTTTACTTATTAGAGAAAGCAAGCACAAGTGGGAGGGGCAGAGGGAGAGGGAGAGAGAATCGTAAGCAGACTCCACGCTCAGTGTGAAGCCCTACTTGGGGCTTGATCTCATGACTTTGAGATCATGACCCTGAGATCACAACCTGAGTGGAAACCAAGAGTCAGTCACTCAACCGACTGCACCACCCAGGCACCCCTTTAAAGAGGTTTTAATCTTTTAGAGACACATACTGAAATATTTAAAGTTAAAATGATACAATATCTGGGATTTACTTCAAAATATGGAAGGGGGGAAGTGGATGAGAGTCTAGATGGTTGGCTGTAAGTTATAATTGTTGAAGCTGGATAATGGGTACATTATAATTTTGCCTACTTTTGCACATGTTTGAAATTTTCCATAATAAATAAGTAAATATATATTTTAAATGCACACAAACAAACAAGTAATATACCTTGCTTAGAAAACTAAGTTCTGAATGAGTGGTTCTGACTCCGTATTACCCAGCAGAAGCCCCATTAGAGAGAACATTTACACTGCTGAGATAAGTCATTCTCCTCTGGGTAAGAGCCACTAAGAAATAAAGTAGGTTTTTAGAGATGGTAATTGTCTCAAAACTTCATGGGGTATCTACAGAAATAGTTTTACATTGATTTTTTTCCCTTCTAATAAATGAGAATATTAATATGGTACACATTTAATTGAAAGATGTAGAATTTGAGACTCAGCTGCGCCTTGGCTGAGTGACTTGGGCCACCCAGTCTCTGAATTTTAGGTTGCTCATCTGTAAAGCAAAACTAATTAATAGCCACCTCAAAGACTCACTATGAGGTGAAATAGTATTTACAAAAGTACTTTGTAGACTGCATGGTGCTCATCAAGATGATGAATGTGTGTAGGGCAAGGAAAAGCATGTATCTAGTTTCTTGAGTGAATAGCTAAGTAGACCAATGTTTCCCAAATTGTGTTCCAGGAAACACTTGTTCCATAAAGTGTTAGTAAGATATTACTTGAAGAAAGGGTTCTGTCCATTAGTACATTACCTTAAAAAAAATGAAATGTATAGTTCTGATAGGACTTCTCAAAGCCTTCATTCTATTAATAGACATTGCAGTTTCCAAGAGGGCAATAAACTATGTACTATTTTCTATGTTTTCTTTGAACACAGAATCATTTCTTCATGGAACTTCTGCTAGGAACACTGTTCCTCAAAATATACTTTGGAAAACAATATGCAGACTACAGCAGACTTAAGGAAATTAAATAATTGCCATATCTGAGAATAACATTTCAAATTGCTCAAAGGCTGTCAGCATTAGTTGCTAAATATTAAAAAAATAATACGGTGATTTCTTTCTCCCTCTTTACACAGGAACTTTCGAAAGAAGGTGCCACCTATCATAGGTGTTGCCACACAGTTTCATGCATGGTGGCATATTTTAACTGGCCTTGGTTCTTATCTTCACATCCTTTTCAGGTAGGAAAGAGAGAGTTTTTTTAGCATAGTATTGAAGTATTTTGTTCCTTTACCCTTCAAATAGGATGTTGTAAATATAAAATGTCAGAGACAAAAGTCAGGAACTTATGTTCTAGCTTTGCCTCTGCCCCTGGGTGACCTTAAGCAAGTCCCTTCCCCTCTCTGAAGCTTAGTTAGTTTTCTCATCCTTTTTTTTTTTAAGGTTTTATTTATTTGTCAGAGAGAGACTGAGCAAGTAGTGGGAGTGGCAAGCAGAGGGAGAAGACGAAGCAGGCTCCCCACTGAGCAAGGAGCCCGATGTAGGACTAGATCCCAGGACCCTGGGATCATGACCTGAGCCGAAGGCAGCCGCTTAACCGACTAAGCCACCCAGGTGTCCCTAGTTTTCTCATCCTTAAAGTGAGATGGTTGTACTAACTGATCTCTGACACATGACTACATTTTAAGTAATCATTCCTCTCCTTTTTAGAGCAAGTAGGATGTAAACATTTCCATTTCTTTATCAACATATTTTGTTGTTGTTTATCAGAGAACAAATTTAGAGGGGAAAAAGCAGCCAGATCCCCTAAGTACCGGACTGGAAAAGCATGTGTATCAGAAGTTCCCAGCTTAATTTGTTCCTTCCCTGAGATAAGTTGGTTGCCAGTTTTCTTCCCTTGCTCAAGAGTCTGTTGGAGGTTAATCATTTACAACCAAATGAAATTAGAATTCTCTCTGATCACACTATTCAAATAATGCCTCCATATCATTCTCCACTTACCAGGCTTTATTGTTTGCCCCCACCAGCTAGACTTAAAGTTCTTTGAGATAAGGGACTTTATCTTATTCACTGCTACCTCTCAAATGCTTAGAACAATGGCTATCAGATAGTAAGCACTCATTATATATTATTAAATGATTTAATGAATGAATGAGTACCTATTGATCTCTTTACTAGGGGGTCAGAATATGTTTAATCTCAAATTCTTCTCAAGAGTTGAGAGAGCTGAAATATTTCTAGAAAGGGGAAGAGAATTTTCCTTTGAACCAATGTGAAAATTTACTCAACTGAAATTTGTAGAATACTTCCTCAAAATCACATTTGCATCTCAACTCTCTGGAGATCAATTTATTTAGGCAACCTGAATTATCTAAAATATAACTACCTGAGGATTATAGACAAAGAACTTCTGGGCAGCTAAATAAGAATCATTGAATTCATGCTCTAAAGAGCTCAAGGTTATTAGTCATGGACGAGCTCTTAAACTCTGACTGTAAGTATATTTATTTTACCTTTTGCAACCTGTTACTACATTGATTATTTGGATTCTCAGCCCGTAGCACATTAGAAATAGCTAATTTAAAAGGGAAGGGATAGGAAATGTTTGAGGAAATTGAAAAATGAAAGAGAAGAAATAATAACTATAAAATGAGCCTGAGAATTATAAACTTAGCACCTTAACACTGCCCAAGAAGTCCCGAGGACATTACTGCAGTGTAATACAATACAGTCGTAAAGTTCTATAATAAATAAGAAGGGAAAGTATACTCATCATATGCTATTTTTAAACGTTAGGTTCCCGCTTTCCCCTTCCTTTTTTCACCTTCCCCTTTCCGTTTCCCTTCCCCTTTAGGCTTCTCTCCTCCTGGTATGGAAACCCTTCAGGGAGGCGGGGTACTGAGGGGGGAGAAGTGCTGTGCCATGGTGGCCGCTTTCAGTGTGTGAGGAATGAAGAAAGGAGGTCAGATCCAGTGGTGATGGGGAAGTGGCTGCTGTGCAGTGCAGGGAAGCAGAGTGACCAGGGGAAGGGATATGGCGGGGTGGGTGGAGGAGGTGGCTGAAGTTAGGAAATGGGTTACACTGAACAAGTACATTCATTGATTAAACAATAAGTAAATATATTGGAGATAACAAAAGCCTGATTTCCCCACTGTCTCAGAAGGGATTTACAAATATGGAAAGAGGGAAAGCTAGATGGAATCTTGAGGGGGTTAGATTAGAATTTAAATTATTAGGGGTGTCTGGGTGGCTCAGTCGGTTAAGTGTCGGACTTAAGCTCAGGTCATGATCTCAGGGTCCTAGGATTGAGCCGTGCATCAGGCTCTGCTCAGTGGGGAGTCTGCTTCACCCTCTGCCTGCTGCTCCCCACCCCCCCACTTGTGCTCTCTTGCTCTCTCAAATAAATAAATAAAAATCTTAAAAAAAAAGTATTAGTATGAACTCATGAGTGTGTGACACCAACATAAATGTACACACAGATATGGAAAAAGTTAGATGTATGTGTGTTGTATAAGTTATAAATATATATGTATACATATGCTTACACATACATGTATTGCTTAGCTCTCTGAACCCCTGTGAAGGCTGAAAGGCAAGCTTTGGCCTTCTAAACCTGAGATAGTGTGAATATCAAAATTAAATAGCAAGAGTTTCAAGTTACAACCCTTTGAATAAAATGAGAATCTATGAGTGCATACTAATACAAATAAATGAGAAGGGAAGCTCTTCCTTACACAAGAATGCCCCATAACAAATGTGGAAGAAACAGCAGTCACAGATGATCACCACTTGGCAACCATCTTAAAGATAGTTGATATGTATTATTTATCAATGGATGCTCTGGCTGATAGATGGGAGTATGATGAGGAACACATATTGGTGTAATTTAGAATATCTCCACATGAAATACTAATACAAAGGGGGAAATGGTGACTTTACAGTGAAGAAAAGTCGCAGCAACCAAATTGACCATGCATTTAAGGTTAACATTGCCATGATAGAGCCGGTCATTTATGGTATGTCTCCTGATAAAATACACTGAAATGAGCTCAGCATCATTTCTGTAGTATTCTTGCCAAAAATGCATGGCCTGGGTCTGGTTATGAGGAAATATTGATGGACCTATGTTGAAGGTCCTTCTACAGAATGAAAGTCCTATACTTTTTAAGACTATCAAGTTCATGAAACAAGGAAAGACTGAAGAACTGTTCTAGTTAGAAAAAAATTGTTAAGGTATGAAAACCAAATGCAGTGCATGTTTCTGGATTGCAACCTGGATCAGAAAGGAAAAAAGAGAAATTATTGGGACAGTCAACAGAATTGGAATGAAGGGGCGCCTGGGTGGCTCAGTCATTTAAGCGTCTGCCTTCAGCTCAGGTCATGATCCCAGGGTCCTGGGATCAAGCCCCACATTGGGCTCCCTGCTCGGTGGGAAGCCTGCGTTGCCCTCTCCCACTCCCCCTGCTTGTGTTACCTCTCTCATGTGTCTCTCTCTGTCAAATAAATAAATAAGATCTTTTTAAAAAAATTGGAATGAAGTCTTGAGTTGGATGTTAGTATTGTATTAATTTCCTGAGTGGAAGGGTTGTATTATAGTAATTTAGGACACTGTCCTTGTTTTATGGTGATACGCATTGGAATATTTAGAGGTGATGGGCATCATGTCATTCAAAGACTCTATAATATATACACTGTGTGTGTGTGTGTGTGTGTGTAAAACAGATGTGGTTAAATGATAACAATTTGGCATCTGGGAGACAGGGATACAGGAATTCTTCATACCAATCTTGCAACTTTCCTGTAAGTTTAAAACTATTTTTAAATTAAAAAAATAAAAAAGGAGAGGGGAAGGCCAAGCCTCCAGATGATGGTGGGGGTGAGGGGGTTGAGATATTTAGTGTAAATAAGCAAATAGAAAACTGATCATCTAACTGGTAATCAAAATACCTTCTAAAACAGTAGGCTATCCATGTTTGTGAAAAAGAGAAGGCTAAATATACATATATGCTCATAAATACTTAATTATCTTTGTAAGGGTATATGTTAACTGGTAAGCACTAGCATTTCTCTCTGGGCTAAAGGTACCAGGTAGGAGACAGATCTTTTTCCTATGTACTCTTCCAAATCTTTAACAAATGATTATATTCCCTATTTAAAAAATTTTTTTTAAATAAAACAATGATATTTTTTATATCCATTAAATGAGCTCTATAGTATTTTGAAATTTCCTTCTGTATTCTTTTGTTGCAGTGAAATGGTATCATCACACATTACTCGTCAGTGTAAATTGCTGTAACCCATTTGGAAAGAAATTTGATACTACATGTGTTTGTGAAAATAAAATATTTATATATATATATTTTTTTAAACATTCATCTTTTTTTTTTTTTAAGATTTTATTTATTTATTTGTCAGAGAGATAGAGAGCACAAGCAGGAGGAGTGGGAGAGGGAGAAGCAGGCTTCCTGCTGAACAGTGAGCCTGATGCGGGACTCGATCCCAGGACCCTGGGATCACGACCCGAGCTGAAGGCAGTCGCTTAACCGACTGAGCCACCCAGACGCCCAAAATATTTATATTTTTTTATCCCAGTTATTATATTCCCTGGAATTTATCCTAAAGAAAAATGAAAATGAAAATGTGTGTGTAAACTCAAATATGTTTATTACAGTGTTACTTAATTAGCAAGGCAACAATGATAGAAGAAAAATAAATTACCTAATAAGGTAGAATTATAAATTATAGTTTATCTTTTATTCAGCCATTTAAAATTATAAATGTGAAAATTTTATAGCAACATAGAAAGGTATTTGGATTATTTGGATTTTTAAATGAAACAGACTAAAATCATATGTAGGTAATTATTAACCCTGTGTAAAACTGATTTGTGTGGGGACAAGGGTTAAAGTAAATACAGAAAAAAATGAAGCATTTTGACTATATTTGGTGGCAAGGTTGTGACTTACTTTTTTTGTTTTGTTGTCTATTAACGTTAAAATGTTTTACTTTGTTTTTTTTTTTTAAGGAGGCAGAGAAGATAGAATATGTTTTAGACATATTTCATCCTAAATAACTAAAATAAAAGAAGCTTGGATGTTCAAGCTTCAGTTATGGAAATTTTGATTCTTTGGGTACCTCATTGAATGAAGCATGCAAATAATATTTCAGAGGGATGATTTGAGAATTTAATATAACACATGTGCCTTTTAAGACTTAAGTACTATACAAATGTTTGTTTCAAACAGAGTTAACACAGGGAAGTAAAAATATCTGACCTTGGAGCTTTGCTCCATCACTTCATAACTGTGTAACAATCTTGAGCCAAGTTACTTACTTGCCATATGCACTGATTTAGAATCCAGTCTCCTTCATCTTCAGAAGTTACTTATTCTAAAGGTCCCTGTGAGGAAGACTTTCATTACCTTCTTGATTATCTCATACCTGTATTGTAATCCTTGTAGAGCTGATATAACTACTTCCAAAATATTCTAAGAATACTTTAATCCTTGCTACCATTATCTTCAAAGATGAAACTGGCAATTATGATATGAATCATCAAGTATGAGTGTCGTGCTCCCTACTAAACTACAAACATCCTGAGGTCACAGTCTGAGTATTGATTTCTGTCTTCCTTAGCATCTTACCAAGTGTTCTGCATAGAATAGCTGCTCAAAAAATGGTTGCTAAATGAACAAAGAATCTACTAGGATTGCTTTTTTGTGTGTGTATACAGAGGCACTGTGGTTAAATTTGTCAGTAAGAAAGTTTGTATGAATTAAAAATTAATCTGAAGGGCTCTCCCCCCCTCCCCTTTTCTTTCAGTTTATATACAAGAACTCTTTACCTGAGATACAGGCCAAAAGTAAAGGTAAGTTCCCTTCCTAGGGGTGGGTGTGTGTGGGTGTGTACGTGCATGTGTGGTTGTGTTAGGAGAGGTTTGGTATTGAGAGGATGGGCTACAGGTGGAAGAAGGGGATGGGCTGGAAAGGTACAAGCTTCGGAACCAGATGCTCTTGAATCTTGAACCGGGTCTTCCACATACTGCTCTATGACCTTGGGCAAGTCTGTTCTCTTTAAGCCTTAGTTTTTTCAACAATAAAATGGAGCTGTCAATAGCTACATTACAGAGTTGTTTTAAGAAACTGAGATGATTAAAATGCCCAGCTCCATGCCTGACAAAATAGAAGCTTAATCCATTTAAATAAATTAAATAAAAATAATTTCTGAGATCTGGGGAAAGTCTGGAAAGACTATGCCATATTCAGGCTACTAGTTGTTAGCATACCTAGCTCATTGGTTCTTTTTCAGGGATAACACGCAGCAGTTACCTTCTTTCATTTTGTCCTAACTTGTTTCCAAACAGTTTCTCTTCGGAATCTGGCCAGTGATCCTGTTTGAGCCTCTCAGGAACCACTGATGAATTATTCCACCAAAAAAACAAAACAGCACCTGCCATAGACCTGGCCAAATGAATAAGCAAATCCTTAAAGATCTACACATTCAAATATATTATAACCATCGGAGTAAAGGAGTGACTTTCTGAGTAATGCTGCCAGTCACACAGAGAATAAGGAATGGGGCTTGTTGGATGTTTAGCTTGTGTGTGTATCTCATTGTTCTTCTCCTCCTCACCCTAAGATGTTTAAAAAGAAACAGACATGATGTGTGTGTATACACTTGAATGCTGGAAAAATGAGGCTTTTCTTAACAGGTTAACAGTTTGTGCGGATCATAGGAAATTAACCTTTTTCCCTTTTTTGATAAGGGTTGCATGTGAATTATACTTTGCTTATTATTTGATTAAATAATCAAAACAGCTAAGTATTGGCAAAACCCCATATCCAAATGGCCAGCTGTGGAACCAGCACTTAGCGGTGTCAGCCTTGATTTATATTCTTGTCCTAGTAACCTCATGAATGGTTTTCCAAGATTTTGAAAAAGAGCTGTCTGTGGGATTCTTTTTTTTTTTTTTTAATTTTTTTATTGGGTCTGTGGGATTCTGATAGTTCTTCACTGTCTGCCTTTGTGGTAGTCAGTATGTCATAAGCAAGCTCCAACCTGCTACTAGGTTCCATATTTGCCGTATCCCAGATTTGCAGTGGGCTCTGGGGTTTCTGTGTGCAGCACAGCCAATCAGAGTGGGTGGGTCACCTTGTAATATCTATGAAGACCACGAGGACCCCTGTAGAATGTTGTTATAGCTCCAGCCAGTTAAGGGTGGTTTCTCAGTTTTCTTTGATCTTTGCAGATCTTTAAGTTGTCACTGGTTTTATGGCTAGGCAAACATGATTGGTGGTCTGGCCTACCCCCCATATTCCATCCTCTTCGCCTAACTTATTTGAAGTTACCAGTGAATGTTGTTACACTCCGACTTTTTTAAATTATACCATTTTTTTTCCAGTTTTCAGAGAGGCTATGGTTATGCCCAGGGAAATGTTTCAGGTTAACTAGAGCTAAAATGATCAGTGTCCTATTTACCTTAAGCTTATTAGAATATCTGCCCCTTCATATTTTGAAGGAACTAGATATAAGAGTTGAGAACAGCTCTAACTTCCTTGAACTTGTAACAGAACTCACCAAAATTAAAGTGCTAAGAAATGGCCGTGAAATATCATTGTAAAGCAGCTAGTTCTAATTTGGGTTTAAATGTAGAACAAATTGAATCACTTTTCACAAACTAACACCTGTCTAGTGTAAAAACCTGATTTCACCCCTTTGCTGATGTATCACCATATTTGTAGCTCCATACCATTTAGCATTTTTGCAACTTTTTCCTGCTCATGCATTATAAAATCCAGATTGTTTTTACCACATGGTGACATTGACCCAGATTAAATCCTGAAGCTACAACTTAAAAAGGAAAATCATTTTTTTTTCTTATGCAAAGGTATAAAACACTCCTGTCATTTCTCCAGTATCCAGTAAGTCTCCTTGGTACAAATTTAAACCAATACAAATTTTGTCGTTTTTCTTCACCTACTAGCCTTAGTTGTAGTCGAAGTACTATTTTCCTTACCTTAGCATGCCAGCATGCCATTAGGCAGGTAATTCTGCCTACTTTTGTGATCCTCCAGCAAGAAAAACACTTGCCAAAACAAATCTAAAGAACTTTGGCTGTGCCTTAAGAAAATCTAAATCTAAGCCGTTCCAACACACAGCCTATAAGACTGTTCTTTTGCCATGAGATCTTACATTTTTTTAATAAGTTCATTTGTTTCACACCATTGTCTTTTTGTACTTTTCATTCACGTTACACTTCTGTGTAAAGAATTTATATACGTCAACAAAGGCACAGCCTTCTTGACAGGGCAACTAGGTGTGGTGCAACTGAGTTTCTGTGTATCACAGTCAGATAAGGTGTGGGGGACCTCCCCCGCCCCGGCCCTGGGGTCCTTTTCAGCGGCTTGCTGAATGAGCAGTTGTAGTCACTTGAAGAAAGTTGTCCAACACCTCAGTGGAGAAGCATGGGCACCACTGGATGATTTGTAATGCTGTGGCCAGTTCTTCAGAGACCCTTGTTTCTGCTGTGAAAACAGCAACATGAAAGCAGAAAGCATTTTAGAAGTGTTGAACAGAAAGCAGAGACTGAATCCAGACTCTCAACTCTCCAAGTTAGTCTGTGCCTCACATATGGCTGTCTTTCTAGCAGCCTAAGTATTTGCTCACTCAAGACTTTGTTTCTGTGCCATAGTGAGTATTGTGGAAATACTGCTGACCTTCAGGACATCACTAAATTGACTTTATTTCAATGGCTTTATTTTTCCCTTCTAGGATTCTGGGTGGGCATTATAGCTTGGATTACTACCCCCCCTTCCCTTTATTTTCTTGGCAGAAAGTTTGTTTACATACCATCTGATGTGAAAGGTGCTCCTCTGTGGGTCCTATAGCAAATTATCTTTCAGAAAATACTAATACCTTAAGAGGATCTGAAAGAAGCAGTTTGCTTGCACATCTTAATATCCTGCCATTTTCACAGAAAATTGAAAGCAATTTATTTGACTCTTTTTTTTAAGGAAAAACTATGAAAGGTGGTTGTACTAATCTGGTTGGTCACTCTACCCACCCCTCCCCACCTTGGTGCTTTCATGAAACGTTGCCAACACCTGAATTGATCTTTATCCTTGCAATATTGTATAAATTGATGATTGGTGATAAACTGATGAGAAACATTAGGTTTTGAATAATTTACAAATGAGAACCCCAAATAGAGGTATTTGGTATAGCAGAATTAGATAAAATATTATGGTTTACCCTAAATGCACAATTTCCAGGACTGTTAAACTAGGCTTTCCTTACACTAAGAAGGTTTTTCTTATACTAAGGAGAAGGAGGTAGGAGTCAATATCAAGAGACCAAAAACTTTAGGTACACAATGCATGAAAATCTTTAAATGCCTGAAAAAACTAAGTTCTATTTTTTTTTTAAGATTTTATTTTTAAGTAATCTCTATATCCAATGTGGGGCTCAAATTTATAACCCGGAGATCAAGAGTCATGTGTTCTAACCAGAGTATAGAATAAGAAGTACAGTCCTGTACTTCCTATTGACTGAGGCAGCCATGTGCCCCAAAACTAAGTTCTGTTTTAATGCCAATTCCTTCAGAATTTAGCCAGTGCCCCTTAAAGTATAATGATTTAGCTTAAGGTTTTCTTTTTTTTTTCTTAAGATTTTATTTATTTATTTGACAGAAACACAGTGAGACGGGGAACACAGCAGGGGGGGTGGAAAAGGGAGTAGCAGGCTTCCTGCCAAGTAGGGAGCCCAATGAGGGGCTCAATCCCAGGACCCTGGGATCATGACCTGAGCTGAAGGCAGACGGTTAATGACTGAGCCACCCAGGCGCCCCTAGCTTAAGGTTTTCTTATGAGTCCTGTGGGTTCCATATTATTTTGCTCTTGAAAAAAGTAATTTATTGCTAAGTTGAAGAGTTTTAGCTCTCAATTCCACAGTTACATGACAGAAGAAATTCTTTTAACCCTGTGGCTTATGATGTGCTACTGGATAAGTATTTCTATAAAACCGATATTTGAAAGAGAATCGGTTATAATTGGAATTTGCAAGTAAGTGGCAATTTGTAGATCTACCTGTGTCTTACATTTTACATCTTATCAGTGCCATAATATAATTAGTTTGGTGACTTTGTCTTGTTTTTCAGTATCTAAAATTACAGCTTATTTGCTATGCTGTAAACATTTGGAAATAATGAGTAAAATTAGGCTAAAAGCTAAACCCCTTTGTAGAGGGGGCTGTAAAGTGAAAATAAAGTCATGACCCACCTGAATGGGAAACTTCAGAAACTTCAACGCTGTTTTTTAAACTGTTGGACTTACTTTAAGAATAAGGAAACTTAAATGTCTAACTGTAGTTGCTAGATGAGACGTTGCCACTTTTGCTGAGGTTCATGTGAGCATGCTACTTGACTTAACATTTCCTCCCGTTGGGGAGGAAAAACCTCTCTTCTACCCTCTTAGATCCAGTAGTTAGGGACCTGTGAATTAAACTGAATAGCAAGAGAAAATGTAGATTTTTTTTTTCACATCTGTACGCAAGAACTCAGAGAAAAGCAGAATTCGGGGCTCATATGCCATCTTAATAAGGGGAGGGGAGGAAGGGCACTTAGGGGAAAACAAATGACTTTCAGAAAGGATAAATGGGCCCTTGGGATAAAGAAGGGAGGTATAATAGTTTTGTGAAAATGTCTGCTTAGTTGTGGTACCCAAAGTCCCAGGGAGAGGATTTGTAACAGTTGAGTTCTTTGGGGGAGGTTCTACTTTTAGGCAGATAAAGGGAGTTCAGAAAAGCCTCTTCCTGCCTCTGATTCTCAAATGCCCTTAGCTCAAAATAATTGTTATGCCACAGTGGTGTATTCTGGACCCTTTATTTCCCCCATCTGAAACTTCCCAGGGTGTTTCAAGGAGCAGAAGCTGAGATAGTGGTTGTGGAGAAAAGATTCAGGTTAGAAGGCGGGAGGTAAGAGGTATGCAAAGGGAAAAAAGGTGTAGATTTATGGAGAAAGAAAAGAAAAAACAGAAACTAATAGTTGAAGCGGATTATAAACTCAGTTTCTTGAGTTCAGAGATGAGTCAGTCCAGATGATTTCTACATGTTGGTCTTGAAGTGTCTTTAGATTGCAGAGTCACGATGGTCGTGGTAATCTCACAGTCATGGGCATTTCCTGGAGCTCAGAGGACCATGTTCTGGTGAACTTCCTGAGTGGCCCAAACTGTTGGGATAAAGCCTTTAAGGTTCCCTTCAGCTTGCAGGGCTTTAGGAAACAGGCAGTTTTAGTTCTTAATGGTGCCAAGTCAGGAGGGTGGAAGAAAGTCGGAAAAGTTAATTGCTGACAAAATGCACAAGATGGCAGGATTCAGCTTTCAAAGAGGTGAAAATAGCTCAAAGACAATGAACAGGACTAGAATCTGATAATCCACAGTGGTGGGTTATAGTTTTCCATTGAAACATAAAATTTCTCTGTAATCACCTCCACTTTTATCAAAGATAATTGAGGTAAGACTATTTTTGTTTGCAAAACAAGTCTAGTCTCATCAAACTTGGCCTGGTTGTTTATGTAAATGTAGCAAGAATGGTAATTGACAACATAGGCCTTTTTAAGTTTGTTTTACTGGAACTTTTATTAGGAATCTCAGATTGGACTTTTAAAAAGCTCAAGGCTAGGAGAATTTGCCATCAGACTTCACTTGCAGTACCCACAGATTTGGATGAATTCCTTCTCAAGATCCCCAAAATATCCTAAGTTTTCTGGGCCTGCCAGGAGGTAGCCTTCCTTACTCACCTGTAAGGCTGGGAATCCTGTAAGCCAGGTGCCAGGTGGATTTTCCAGGAAGGTTTTATAAGCACTGGCTCCTTAAAGTCCACCTTAGTTTCTTAAACCTGGTCATCTCTGATGCTATGCACAACATTCTCACACATGACACTCCAGTCAAAGCCTAATATAACCAGTGTTTCCAATTGTGTCCTGTTATGAGAAGAACAAATTCTTACTGAACTTACTCAAATAACTATATTGCCGTGAAAATAACAATCAGTAAGGGTTTCCAAATTTTGGATGGCTCAGGCAGGGAGAAAAGATAAATGTTTTGTTTTTGTTTACAAAGATATAATCTACTAAATTGCTATGTTATAGATAGCTTCAGAGAAAGGGGTTTTTTTAAATCCCAGAAAATGAAACATTAAAGAACCAGCAGTATTCTGAGCAAAGGTCATAGAAGAAATCATAATCATTCTTTATCAGTCTACTCAGTGCCATATGATAAATTCAGGTGTTTCTTGATTTGCGGTTTTATGAACCTATGAGCTTTTCTGTTCTAGAAATCATTAGTCCAGGGTATGATCTTAAAATTACCTAAACAATGACATTGGAAACCTGTACCCCACAGTAATGCTGTAATCATACTGTGGGTCCCTGAGATAATCCTTTTTTGTTGAAGATTAAACCTGCAGCTGATTAAGAGTTTTCAGGAAAACATCAGGGTAAAACAATATCTGTGAATGACAAAAGGCTTTAAATGGCCATGATTAAAGATTTGATGAGAGTTCTTTATAATGCAGTTGACAAGGAAATTTAGTTGTCTCTGTGACATTCAACAGTTTAAGATAACTGGAGTTATGATTGGTCATATTCTACCAGGACATGGACAGCTATGATGTTGACAAATTTCCAATAATCCAAGAAGCTGTGTCCTTTTAATAGGGAATTTCAACCTCGAGTTTTGCATCCATATATTACTGAGCTCATTTCTTAAAAAAGAAAAAAAAAGATTATAAATAAATGCATTCAATCTTAGCTAGTTTGCCCACATGAATAAGATATTCCCCCCTTCTTTCTCTCCCCTCCATC